TGTTGTTATAGCATGCCCTAACCACTGAGCCATGGGCGCCCAGCCAAGACCCAGATTTAAATGGAGGCAAATCTGTGAAACACCAGTGTGTGTAGGGGAGGTATATGCTCAGCGGCAAAAGGATTATGAGATGTTATATGTAAAGGATGTAGGCAGTCGAGGCTGGATCTAGGAGAATCTAACTTCCTCAAACAGGTGCCCAGAGATGTTAACTTGGAATAGAAAATGAAAAAATGTTTTTTAAAAAATCTACATAGACTCTCCAGAAGTCTCCTACCAACTTAGATTATATTGGAATATAAGACCATTATCCAAATGATTAGGAATGCTGAATTCACACTCACTTTTTCCAAAATTTACCTGTTCCCTTGTCTTTACTGATCCACCCTCTGGTCATTGAATCTTTCACTTTGCACTGATACTTGAGTGAATAGTCAAGGAGAAGGTCATCACTGAGGCTTGCAGAAGTTTGTCTCCATGATCAGTTCTAATTACAGAGAAATATACTTATTAGGATAAGAGACCACATCAAGTTTGTTTTTGTTTCTGTATTCCCAGCTCTTACCACACTGTCTCATTTAATAGGCCAAGACTTAGAAAATACCAGTATTCTAGGTATTAAATTGATTTGTAATGTCCAGAGATACCCTAGATTTAATGTATGTCATGTGTTGTATTGAACACCTGAATCAGTTAATACGGTTGAGTTGGATGACAGAAAAATGATATTTCTTGCCTAAATTTCTCACCTATAGCTCAGTGGTTAGGGCACCAGCCACATGCACAAGGGCTGTTGGGTTTGAACCCAGCCTGAGCCTGCTAAAGAACAATGACAACAAGAACAACAAAACTTAGCCAGGTGTTGTGGCAGGTGCCAGTAGTCCCAGCTACTTAGTAAAAGGCGAAGGATTTATGAAATTTGAAGAGAAACCAGAGTATAGTCCCAGCTACTTGGGAGGCTGGGGCAAGAGAATCCTTAAACCCAAGAGTTTGAGGTTGCTGTGAGCTGTGACGCCATGGCACCTACTGAGGGCGACATAGTGAGAATCTGTCTCAAAAAAAAAAAAAAAAACCAATTGCTGTTATATCTATGTTTTGTGTTGAAAACAAAACATAAGTTTGCCTGTATGTAAGTTTTTATAATTTCCTTTTTGTGCTTTCCTTGATTGACTAATTATGAGTCCTGATCACATTGGTAAAATGGGTCCTCTATATCTGCTATGTAACTTTTTTTTTT